AAAAAAAAAAAAAAAAACCAAAAAAAACCAAAACCACAAAACATCGTCTCAATTACCAAATCCACCATCACCACCACCATCCGAACGATCGACGCACGCGGACGCGCAATTCGATGCGACGATTATGATCGATCGAAAGGCAACCGGAGAAGAAGATCGAGTAAGTGCACAACAACTGCTGACGCATCAATAACTTTTTTCATTTTTTTTTTTCTTTGTTTGTCCAATAATACGTGTTTACTTACTTATTTTTCTATTTTTGGTTTTTATTTATTTATATTGAAAAAAATTTTTTTTTAACTTGTTAATCATTACTTCATAATATTACCTGCGCTACCGGTCGCAGAGTGTCTCTTTGTACGTCCGCTATTTTAAAAAAGAAATACCTACTACTCGCTCTCTATTACATCACTAAAGAAAGAAAGGGATGTAGCACGACACGAGTGTATTTTTGTTATTCTGGTCAAGCCGATCGTCCGCGGGGGAGGGGGAAATTTAGCAAAGCTTGTGTTACCAAGGCTTGGATGAAAAAAAAGAAAATAAATAAATAAACCCAATAAAAATCTGTCGTGCTACAACTCTATTGCTGCTCTGTAAACGTCTATGCGTAATTTCACATTGGTATTACTGTTAACTTTATTGTTTTTTCATTTTTTGTCTTTAATACGTATTTGGTATTTTTATTGAAAACCTATAGAGCTCGCGCCGACGATGCGGACCCGTGTATAGGTGGATCGCTTGCCGATCTTTTTTTTTTTTTTTTTTTTTTTTTTTCATCCCTCGTGCATGGAACGGCGATAAAACCCGGAAAAAAGGTGCGAGTGCACGTATTGATTTGCACACAGACATAGACCGAAGGCTCGATCGGCGATTTTTTTCTCTGCAAGACCACTAAATGGATGCTTGTTTTTCTCTGTTGCAGGCACCCTAGTATCCCGCAAAAATGTCGGACGACGAGGAACAATACTCGTAAGTATAAACGCATATTTTCGCACGAGTAAAAAATTACGGGTAAAACCATACCGATATTCTGTCTTATTTACATCTTATGTACGTATATAGCTACGATTGTTTACAGTTGAAGGTTTACAGTTGAATGGAACAATTTTTACATACGAATAGGTACAGGGATTATAGCTGTGGCAATTTTTACACGCACAGAAATATTTGCGATTCAAGCTACCGAACGACGATGTTGCATTTTTTTTTTTTTTTTTTTCGATCAATCAATAAGGAATTGGCGCGATATTGGTCGTCGTTGTTATAGTTGCATGGGTGCATACTGTTAAATAAATATACGTAGGTAAAACGTGATTCTCATTCGTAAGTTGTCTGTTGGAATGCCATTTTTTATTTATTTTTACTCACAAGGAATATGCATACCACGAAACCCCATATGATTATCATATGTGTCTCACCCCCACCTCCCCCTGTGTCTCAATTGTCTCGTTAACTAAGATTTCAACCATGTAGTATTATTTAATTTATGTTTCATGTGTATTTATATAAGTTTTTACACGCATCCACCGATTTTTTTTTTTTTTAACCTACCCACGCGTGTATTTTTCTCCCACGTTCGTAAAAAAAAAAAAAAAAAAAAAAAAAACCAAGTACGGTAACACCAACGACTAACCGATCTGTTGTACGATTTTTTTTTCAGCAGCGAAGAGGAGGTCGAGGAAGTGTAAGTACATCGTTAAACCTCGATTATTACTTCCACCACGACGAATCCAATGGTGCACATTTCGTAATTAACTTGTGTTTCTTTTTTCTCTTTTCTCCTTGCAGGAAGTAAGTTCCAGGCGCGGGTATTATCATTCCTCTTTACTATATACTCTGTCGTCCTTGATTAGTCAACTTTTTTCTTTTTTTTTTTTTTTTTTTTTTTTTTTTTTTTAACCTACCCACGCGTGTATTTTTCTCCCACGTTCGTAAAAAAAAAAAAAAAAAAAAAAAAAAAAAAAAAAAAAGAAGGCGAGCTTTTTCTCTGTCTGTGTGCAAAATACGTTCAAGGATCGTCCCATTGTCGCGTAACGCGGGCGTCTCCAAAGTGATGTGAGCGATATCGGCGCATGTGCATCGTATCTTTAACCACCAATAGAACACCAAAAAGAAAGAAAGAAAGAAAGAAAAAAAAAAAAGGATAATTCGTCAAAGTGCATCAATTGTGGAAATAATGTGTCAAAGCTGAGAAAGTTTTTCACTTGTATTATCATATCATATACGTACGTAGTATCTGGTGCTCGTTCGTCGTGGTCGTACAGAAGGAAGAGAAGTAGAGAAGCTGGCTGATGTAACACCGAGGGAGATCAACGACCGCGTGCCAATTTCGGCTATTTATTTTATTTTATTTTCATTTATTTAATTTCTTATGCGCACGACCAGTGTGTCAACTGCTCGTGTACATATATATGCATGTAAGAAGAACCGTGTACTGGACTGTGTGCTACGACCAAAAGGGACCATTAAAATCGGTATTTTCGTAACGTGTTTTTTTTTTTTTTTTTTTTTTTTAAAAACTGTCTGACGTACAAAAT